GCCAGGAGCTTCTTCTGACTCTCTAGTGCAGGTGCAGGGGCCCAAAGACTTGGGTCATCTTCTAGTGCTTTCCTAGGCCATAGCAGAGAGCTGGATCATAAGTGGAGCAGCTAGGTCTTGAACTGGTGCCCATATGGGATTGCTGGCACTTCAGGCAGCAGCTTTACCCCCTAGGCCACAATGCCAGCCCCTATAGTTTATTTTTAAACCTCAGTATATAAATTACTTCTTTGAAATCAAAGGCACATCTTGCCATGATCAGATTGACAACTATCATTGAGAGTTACTTCCCATTCAAGTATAGAGGCACAACCATTATTTATGAAAACCGGAGCATGAGTATGAAAAGAGAAAGAAATCTTAAGAAAAATGTCATCCCTGGCACTTCTCATAACTCATTTGCTTCTGTACCAGCAACAGGCTCCACCTCCTGCCCAGTCATTCAAACCATGTGCCTGGGCATCAGCCTTGCCACTGCCTCTCTCTCACTAGCACACCCAATCACTGAATCCTCATAGCTCTTTCCCCAATCTGGCCTTGTCTGAGCCACCATCACCTGTTCTCAGAATTTCTGCAGCCTCCTTTTTCACCCATGCTTCCTTTCCTCATTGATTCTCCATAAAGCAGTCAGAGCATGTGTATTAAATACAGATTCGATGATCTCCTTCTCCTCCTTACAACCCTCCTGTGGCTCTTAGGAGGAATGCTGGAATCTCTCATTTGTACGCAAGGGCTCAGCCCTGATCTGGGCCTGCCATCTCCAGGCCCATTTCCTACTTACATTCTGCTCAGGCCATGCTAATCTTTTCAGTATCTAACTTTCCTTAATCCTACTGTCTCTCAGTCTCACCTAGACCTCATTTTTCACCTTTGCAATTAATAATGACTTGTTTGGATGACAGTGCTTGTTATCCTCATAGGCAGGTCTCCGAAGTCAAGGCCACATCTGCCTGTTTTCTGCTGCACCCCACCCCCATGGGCTGTAGTAAGGACTGACACTAGGGTGCAAGAAGAGTAATAAATAAATATATGAATAGTGAAATATTCACATTCCACACATGCTCTTTACTGCCCAAGAACCCTTAGACAAAACAAAAAAGACAAGACCTCCACTGTTGGAAATGCTTAAATGCCAACTCAAAGCCATCAGTAGGTATATGAATAGCTATCATCTTGTATACTACTCTGACTATAACTGGTAATTGAGTATGTTAAGTATAATCTTGTAGATGTGAGAACTAAACAGGAAAACATTACAAGCATTCTTGATGGGTACTGTGCTTACATAGGGTTCAAGAGCTGACTAGAAAGTTATTTATTCTTCAGCCAGTGATTTGCAGATTCTGAATCCTGGCTCACATTAACCTGCTCACGCAGAAACTGACAGATACATGAGAATTCCAAGGCTGCACATGACTGTATGTTTCAGGTCATTGCCAGGCACAGAAGTACATTTCCGCTGCCCTGCAGAATCTATCTGGGGAGCTGGGTTGTACTCCAGGGTTGGAGAATCTGGAAACCGGGTCAGGAGAGGAGGTGGCCTAAGTGTGTGCCTCAGGCAACAAGGCTCTACCAGTAGATGAACCATCCAAAACAAGGTAGTCAGAATACAGCATTTCCACAATTCCTCAGTGATTCTGTGGCTCTCTCCTCGGGTACCTTTTCAGTCTTTCATGTCTTACTAAAGAAAATTTACTCACTTCTTAAATGATTTGCTATTTTACTTGTTAAATTGATTTCCACACAGTCCCTGAGTCCCGTTCGAGGTTGTGCATGTTTTCCCACAAGCTTCAATTCTGCTGGCAAAGATTGGACTAACATTGGCAACATAACTTCATAAAACAATCACGGTTGTGTTAAACCAAGTTAAAATATGAAATAAATAGGTTGTAAGTGGTGAAGGCATAGCTAATTAAGTAAGCGTGAGTGTTGCTAAATGAAAATAATGAAATGTTAAAGAAACCAAATTAAAAAGAAGCAAAAGGCTTTTCGAATAGTATTGAAAGTTGTGATATCACTTCATGTAGTGCAAAAACTTACCAGGTATGAACAAGTGGATGAAAAATATCCTTTTTCAAACCAATATACTTAGACTAACCAATTTCTTAAATCTTGAGCTAAAAAATGAAATAAAATGCATGGAAATGTTGCCAGATAGCAGTTCACACTTAATTGCTTGAAACTAAATAGTAATAAAGTTATAGTATGAACAATCTGTTGTAAATTCCTAATCATTTTGAAAGTTATAAGCAGCTCTTTTATGTACAGAATATTATCTTAATACTTCAATTCAGGGATGAACATTTGTCCTAGTGGTTAAATGCAGATTGGATGTCCATGTCAGAATTCATGGGTTCCACTCCAGGCTCCCTCTTCTAAGTTTCTGCTAGTGCACACCCTGGGAGGCAGCGGTGATGGCTTAAGTAGTTGGGTCCCTGCCATCCATGTGAGACGACATAGATTGAAGTCCTGGCTCCCAGCTGTTGCAGGAGTTGGATAGTGAACCAGTGGATATTGATATCTCTGCCTCTCAAATAAATAAATAAATCTTAAAAGATACAATCTCAGTTCATTCTCAAAAAGGATTAATAAATATTAAGTAAAATTCTAAAACATCACTACAGTTGGTACACAGTATATGGGCAACACTTTGTGACCAAGTATTTATGTTTGAAATCACATGCTCATAATCCTTTTTTATGACACAGAACTCTGGGATCTACTTGTGGCAAGCCAAGTAAAAATATACTCTCTTGATTATTTTGGTTGAATTTCATCTTAAGTAATTCTAAAATCATGCAAAAGGCACAGTTTTGAGTTCTTGCTGCCTTTCAGAGTTTGCAAAAAGATAAAATTCCAATCTTAATAATTTCTTTTCATAAGTGTGCCTTCAGAATATTTTAAAATAATATTGCATAACAGTATATATAGTGTTTAAAATCCCCATGCATAATGTTTAGATAAACATTTTGCAGAAAAGACTTATTTTCTCATTGTAATAGACAAGTACCTGGCCTTCAATTTAAACTAAGTGGATGTTTGTTAAACTCATTTTATGTTCCTGGGCATCTTTCTCTGAATACCACTGTTTTGTGGGCTTTATGATACTTTCATCAGAGACTCTGGAGATGTCCATACTTTGAACACTACAGGCATGAACATACCCCAAATGTCCCAGGAAGTGAGTGGATTTCCTCGAGTGAGAACTCCCATGCCTGCAGTTTGTGGAGTGATTGGGTTGCTCTACCTCCGCTTACTACAGGGCAAACCTATGATAAAAAACAAACAAACAAAAAAAAACCAAGATAAATTAAAATGCTCTTTAATCAAACCTCATTCATCTAAGCCATTTTCCAAAATGTGCTTTTGGACTCTGTTTAGCTAATGATTAGTGTAGCAGGAGTGGAGTAGGCTCATCTGAGTCACGGGAGGATCTATAACAGGGTTGTCCATGCTGTAATTCTGATTAATTGTGACCACTGATTTATTGAGTGCCAGCTCTTCAAGATCAAAGGATAAACTGCTCCCCAATCCCCCTCAAATGCACTCATTTATGTTAAGCCACCTGCAAGAATACAAAATGACATTAAAGGCTTGGTCCACACCTGCATTTCAGGCTCTTACTAAGGGGTTTCCACTCTGCCTCTCAAGTTCCCCTCAGGAAACATTATGCTCTCACTTTGTCAGCATCCTCCACTCATCCCTCTCCTGCCCCATTTACTTCTGTTCCAAATTCTCTAAACATCAAGGAAAATGTCTTCAGGCCAAATCACTAGATAGATTGTTAACCTGTTGCAGTTGATTTCTCAACAATGTTGCAGTGGATTCGTTTCTGAGGAGGAGGAGCGTGGTGGGGGCAAGAGGCATGGAGTCACCACACAGACCCCGGGAGTCAGTGAAAGTGGGCTTGAGGCGAGGAGCCTGCAGACTCGTTTATTTCAGTTGGTACAATAGCTTATATAGTCAAGACCAGCCAATCCGGTCAAGGGGCAGTTTATCCCCAACCAATCACAGCCTGTTGCCAGGCAGTTTCCAAGCCATCCAATCACAGCCTGTTGCCAGTCAGGCTCTTGTTGCCAGGCAGTTTCTGAGACCAACCAATCATGGCCTGCCGTCAGTCAGGCTCGTTGTCATGTGGTTTCCTCTGTTTATGTGGTTTTCTGAAGCCATCCAATCACGGCCTGTTGCCAGGCAGTTTTCTGTTGTCAGTGGCCATCTTGGCATGACCTTTTCACCTCAGTGGCCATCTTGGCATGAACTTTTCAATTCAGCGGTCATCTTGATATGACCTTTTCACCTCATCCCACCACATTAACCCAGGAAAAACATGAAGTCTCTACTGCTTCCCAAGAGAATCATAGCTACTAAAGGCCTTTGGATGAAAGACCTTAGTTTGGGTTGGTTGGTGTTGCTAGTTGAAGGAGAGTAGTAAGAAGCCAGAGGAGGCTGTTGTCCCAGTGATGGGCTATCTCAACCACCCACTTTGGGATTGACTACTCGGACTTGCTCCTACGATTAAGAAGAGAGTCCCAGGGGCATGATGAGTCAGGATCCCAAGACTGGTCACCCCTTCTTGAGCATTTGTACAGTAAAGTGCATGGTGAATGGTAAGGGCCATTGCACTGCCTGGCCTGCCACTAACCTAATTCCTGGCAACATGTCTGATTTTATATGGCTGTTGTACAGGTAGTAAAGGGGGAATGATAGTCTGTGTATCTTGTTTGAAATAATGAACTTGTAAGACAATTAAGACAAAGAAAACTGGAAAAGTACTAGGAGATCATGCAGGAGATTAAAGGGCGTGAGTCAGATTAGTTAAGGGTGGACGTTGATCATGCAGAGACAATAATGGGAATCTCTGTATTCACAATGGGTTGGACATTTCCACCTGGACTGCTGTTCAGTGATTGCAATGTAGGGAGGGACAGGATGCTTGCATTTGTACATGTTGCATATCTTCTGCCTGGAAGTCATTGTTTTGTCCTTCCCTCTCCTGCCAGGTGCTGGACTGGATTGAAAACCATGGCGAGGCCTTTCTGAGCAAACACACTGGGGTTGGGAAGTCCCTGCATCGAGCCCGAGCCCTGCAGAAGAGGCATGATGACTTTGAAGAGGTGGCTCAGGTAAGATGCTATGTATGGGGGGGGGGGGGGGAGGATGGCCATGACATATTGGATTGATATCTTGTGACTGCTGGGCTGTATTGCGAAGAGACATTTGTCTTCTCTTAGATCACTAGATGAGTGATACACAGATTCCCAAGTTTATGGTCTTCAAAGAAAATCTTCCTGTCAACATGAGCCAAAAATGCCTTGTCCACAAGGTGGCAGTGGTGAGAGAGAATGACATTAGCGCTATCATCAACCCAGGGCTATCACTTATGGTTGTAACCACCAGGGGCTGGAAGCTGAAAATGAGCCCCAGCTCTGCTTGCATGCTGTTTACTTTCTAGGACCTGGAGAAAGAGATGGCACCCATTCACCAGGCATGTACCCACAGGGTTAAATGTACCCAGAGACTGCCTTGATAAATTTGCACAACATTCAATCTTTGAGCTGAGCTGTATACCCAATCCAAAAGGGCATCATTTTCTGATCTGCATAGATTCTGGATAAGGAGTTCTGACCATTTGTCTAATGATTAAAATTATATAAAAGGGTTTTTTGTTAAGAGCCTCCACCTGAAAAAGCTTAGTCTAACTCTGGTATATTTCTCTCTGGGAGAGTTTTCCAAATGGACCCTGAAAATCTTTGTCTTCCAGTTGAAATACTGCTATCCAGTAGTTTTGTCAGGTGTTATTAGTGTCAGTTGACTATAAACTCTTAAGGGATAAAGCCGGGAGGGAATCCATATGACAGAGGGGTAGGTGCCATGTGACAGTGTTGGCCAGGGCTGGCTCTGATCCCACCATGCAGGCAGCCCTCAATATAGTTATCACTCTGGGCCTTGTTCACAGTCCCAGCCCCCACCCCAGAAGGCAACCTGCCCCGGACAAGGGTGTGCCATGGGTTCAAAAGAAAAGACCTGCCAAGAACAAAATGAGGACATAAAATTTGTGTGCATAGACACATCTTTAGGGATTTATGGGAGCCAGAAAGACCATCAGCAGTGACCCACACCCAGGGGATGAGGGTGGATTGGACTCTACCTGTGGAGGTAAAGAAGCCTCCTATGGAACCATAAAGATTGCTGCTGGGAAATAAGATGGTGCAGTGAAAAGTGGTGAGAAGATTCCTCAAAAAGCCAAAAACAGGATTACTGTAACATTCAGCAATGCTACTTCTGGGTTTATTCCCAAAAGAATGGAAAAGACTTGAACAGATCTTTGTATACCCATGTTCTAGCAGCTTAATTCATAATAGCCAAAAGGTAAAGCAAACCCCAGTACTCACATGATGGTTTGAACAAAATTTGGCATACCCATACAATGGAATATTATTCAGCCTTAAAAGGAGGGAATTCTAACATGAGCTACAGCATGGGGTGACCTTGAAGACATGCTAATTGAAAGAAACCAGCCAGAAGAGAACAAATATTATGATTCCCTTATACTGAGATACCAAGAGTAGCCAAATTTGTATATATAGAGAAATTGAATGGTGATTGTCAGGGTTAGGGGGAGGAGAAAATGGGGAGTTATTGTTTAATGGGTACAGAGTTTCAGGTTTGTAAGGTGAAGAATTTGGGAGGTAGATGCTAGTGATGCTTGCACAGCAGTGTGAAGCTAATTGATGCCACAGAGTTGCACACTTAAAAATAGTTAAAATGGTTTTATGTTGTGCATGTTTTACCACAATAAAAAAGGACATCGCATAGCCATATAAGCACCTTCTGCAGAATGAGCTGGACTTTGCCACATGGTATAGACATAGGGCCCAATATTTCCTCTAAAGGATGAGAAGAAGCCCAAATCTAACAAATATAGGTAGCCATGTACCCTAGGTGCCTCTCCAGCATGCTAAGCGCAGAGGATGGGAGAGGACTGCAAGCATCTTCTGCCTGCTGGGAGTGGAGCTGTGGTGCCTGCGATGATCACTTGGTGCACATAGCTTTGGTGCTTCTGCCTCCAAGCTGTCCTGTGGTTCAGTCCCTCTTCAGCTAGGAGGACATCTCCAAAGCCATCCACATCCCTGACCCAGCTCATCCCTCCAAGCTCTTTTCCTGTTGTAGCCTCATGGGCATCACCAGCCTTGGTTCTAGGCCCATGAGGGACCAATAGCTTTTGTCTGTTGTTACAGCCAAGCAAACATCTTGGCCACTCCAACCTGCTTTGCCCAACAGCCCTCCACCTTCTCTATTCCATTCACGTGGAACAATGCCTCTCATTTAGCCATGGAGACACAGCTAACATTCATACTAAAGAAAGAAGGGACACATTTTGGAAACTTTGTGGCTCCAGCCTATATTTTGTCTCCTGCCACTCTGAATAATAATGGTGCCAGGCTTGTTTCGTAGAAGACAGCCTTGAGGCTCTTCAGTGTGCCCAAGTCATCCAGCTTGCCAGTAGCTCTGCTGGGACCCAAACCCAAGTTTTCATACTCCAGACTCACATTCCTATTCCAATTCTGTGCCATCTCCTTATTGAGATGTAGGAACTGGGTATAAAATTCATTTCTAAATGTTTTTTCATGGAAAGTGCAGGACAAAGAGCAATAATGGGTGACAGACCAGTTCTGCCATCCCTGTGACATTTGTTCAACTTTCTGGCCCTGCCAACAAGTGTATGCGGTGATATAATCCAAATCCTCCTGCCTGTGTTTTCTGATAAGACTTTATCTTTTTTAGAGAGAAAAAAGATTTATGACTTTGAAATGACTTAGGCATTTAAAATGTTACGTCTGGAATGGAAAATAGCAGATGTGGACTGAAAAAGGAGCATTTTAGCCAGGGGTCATGAGGCCTTTGCTTCACCCAGTACAAGGCCTCTAGCAATGGATCTTGAGTATGGAGACTAATCCTAACTTGTTCCCTCATACCCACTCAGGTATGGGAATGGGAGAGGACTGCAAGCATCTTCTGTCTGCTGGGAGTGGGGCTGTGGTGCCTGGGATGATCGCTTGGTGCACAACTGTCCCATAGCTTTGGTGCTTCTGCCTCCAAGCTGTCCTGTGGTTCAGTCCCTCTGCAGCTAGGAGGACTTCTCCAAAGCCATCCACATCCCTGACCCAGCTCATCCCTCCAAGCTTTTTTCCTGTTGTAGCCTCATGGGCATCACCAGCCTTGGTTCTAGGCCCATGAGGGACCAATAGCTTTTGTCTGTTGTTACAGCCAAGCAAACATCTTGGCCACTCCAACCTGCTTGCCAACAGCCCTCCACCTTCTCTATTCCACTCACATGGAACAATGCCTTTCATTTAGCCATGGAGACACAGCTAACATTCATACTAAAGAAAGAAGGGACACATTTTGGAAACTTTGTGGCTCCAGCCTATATTTTTGTCTCCTGCCACTCCGAATAATAATGGTGCCAGGCTTGTTTCGTAGAAGACAGCCTTGAGGCTCTTCAGTGTGCCCAAGTCATCCAGCTTGCCAGTAGCTCTGCTGGGAGCTGCCCAGCACTGTGAAATTATTGTTCCACCCCCCCTAACCACAGTGAAGGGAGAGTGACTGTCAGTAGCAGCCTGCCTGAGACCTGCGTTGTTGTGTGCAGCACAATGGTATACCCAGATGGTAAGAACGTGGCCTGCTCAGAATCAGCCCTTTAGGCATTCAGATCTGGCTAAAAAGCCCATGAGAATTCTCAGGCATGGAAAGCCAAGACACTGTGGCAAAATAAATAAATAAATAAATAAATAACTGACCTAAATGACAGATCTCTGTGAGTGAGATCCAGTGGAAAGAACAGGCCATCAAAGAAGGAGGTACCTTTCTCTGAAGGGAGGAGAGAACTTCCACTTTGACTATGTCTTGTCTAAGTAAGATCAGAGTTGGTGAACTCACTCAAGAGGCTTCCATAACCTTGGCAGCTTGTGACAAGAGCCTTGGGTGATTACTGAAGTCATCATAAGAGTGTCAATTGTTAACAACGGAAGTCACTGTGTACCTATTCCCCACGTAGGATCTCTGTCCTTAATGTGTTGTACTATGCAAATTAACAGTAAAGCTACTACTCAAACAGTACTCTATACTTTGTGTGTCTGTGTGGGTGCAGTCTGTTGAAATCTTTACTTAGTATATCTAAGTTGATCTTCTGTATATAAGATAATTGAAATGAATCTTGATGTAAATGGGATGGGAGAGGGAGTGGGAGATGGATGGTTGCAGGTGGGAGGGAGGTTATGGGGGAAAAGGTGCTATAATCCAAAAGTTGTACTTTGGAAATTTACATTTATTAAATAAATGTTGGGAAAAAAGAACACGGCCTGGTCAGGCTGGAAAGGGCTCTTCTCTTTCTCTCTTGCTGCTGCTCTCCATTACTCAAAGGCCACTGGGAGAAGAGGAGTGGATTTAATCAAGAATCAGAAAATTCTAGCACAATGACAGAGAGCCAACGTATGGACCACTGTTCCTTGTTGCTTAGGGTTGCAGTTGTTGAGATGTAGTCGTGTGTGTGTGCAGAAGGAGGCTGGGGGCTGCTTTTGAGCAATATTGTAGAGAGTCCTGACTCAGTGAAGGAGCCTGTTTCAACATTAGCATTTTATGATTCTTGAGGTCAATATGAGAAGGAGTTCTGAGCACTAGTTCTCTGCATTTAGGTTCAAAGCCCTGTCTTGAATCAAAGCAGAGAGAGAGCTATTGCAGCTGTCTCTGCTCCTGGAATCTGCCTTTCGTGAGAGAGCAAGCCGTCAAGCGGAGGAAATGATCACCAACCAGAGAGGGGTTGGTGGGAAGCCCTGAACAAGCAGATCTCCAGTCTTGGGATAGTGGGGAACCTGTGTGATCTTTGAGGTAAAGATCTTTAAGACAGCTATTAAATTAGATATAAATGACATGTGCAGAATTATTGCAGCAGTCTGTTATCTGCCATTTAACTTAAATTTTGTGCTTAATAAGTTGAATACATCTTAAGCCAATTCTCTAAATGTTATTTGGAAGATATGAATTAAGTATGAGTCCTCAGCTCATCCTGCAGATGGCACTCTTTGAATAGCCTATCTACCAGCTGAGCTGCCCCAGAAAGGCA